TTACGCTTTATGTTTAAGAGTGATTTATATTGAATGCAGGAGAAGAACAAAATGTCAACCTTCGGAGTATGGCTTTTAACTAAGAAAGAATAAAATAGAAAAATTAAATAAATCTTATTCAAAATTATTCAAATATAAAAATAAAATCAATGAAATATAATAAAACATTTTATACATCCGTATATATATATTTATTTATACTGCAAAAAAACTGAATTCAGTAAAATCACAAATATTAAAAAAAAGAGCTTATTAGAAAATGAGACAAAAAAAAAAAATTCAATGAAATAATTTAAAAGAAAACCGAAAACCATAAAATCTAAATTAAAATTATATAAAATAAAAATAAAATATTAAAATAAATAAAAGTACATAAAATAATTTAATAAAATAAAATAACACAAAATAAAATAAAATAACATTAAATGAAATAAAGTTACATAAAATAAAAAAAAAAATAAAAATAAAATAATATAAAATAAAATAAAATAAAATAAAATAAAATAAAATAAAATAAAATAAAATAAAATAAAATAAAATAAAATAAAATAAAATAAAATGAAATAAAAAGTAAAATAAAATAAAATAAAATAAAATAAAATAGAATAAATTTGCTTAAAAAATTAAATTAAATAAACTAAAATGTAAAATAGGAAAAATAATAAATAAATTAAAAAATTTAAGAGATTTGAAATAATAATAATATAGAAGAAAACTAGATAGAAAAATTTAATCAAAAAATTAAATTAAAAAAAAACTTAATTAAGAAAATAAAAATTGAACGAAACAAAAATGAGAACAATATTAAACAAAACAAAATGATGTAAAATATAATTATATAAAATGAATTTAAACTACAAATATTTTTTTTTTTTAATTTAATTAATTTAAGTTGATTGGTTTCTTAAAAGTAAATTACTGCCAAATAACTTAAGGTGCAAATATTCTATATAATTTTAATTTTATTCAATTAATAAAACAATAAGAATTAAGTAAAGTAATGTAAAATACAATAGAAACCAATAAAACTTTATTAAGTAAGCAATAAAAAAAAACAATATAAAATTAAAACAATATTAAATATAATAAAAGTAAAACAATTGAATAAATTGGGTATGTATTATTAATTTTATTTTTTTTAAGTGGAATTGAAACGTAATAAATAAAATTATGTAAAAAAGTGCAATAAAAATTTAAATTAAAAAAAAAACTTTGTTAATCAAAGAATAAAATAAAATTATAGAGTTTGAATAAAAATATTTTAACGATTTTATTTAATTCAATAGAAATCATTGCAAAGAAATATCCAACGCCATGCGCCACGTATTGTTTTCTTTACATTTCTCTGCAAATTTGTATGGGTAATTTCTTTTATATTAAGTCAATTTCTATTTACCCTCTTTTCGCTTGACTTTTGGCTTCTACTTAGTTGCTAATAAATTTTTCATTTTGTTTCATTTTGTTTTTGTAATTAATTTAAATTAATTTATCTTCCACTAGTTTTGCTTGCGCATTCCTTGTTTGGTAGTTCATTATTTGTTTGTTTTTTGTTTTCTTTTTCCTTTTGGTTTATTTAATTTCTTTTGCCTAATTCGAAAATTTCGTAAATATTTTTGTGATTTTTATTTAAATTTTTGTTTGTTGTTTGCTGCACAAATTTTTCTTTTATTGTTTGCGACACTTTTAAAATTCTTTTTTTTTTTATTTTCATACACACATTTGTTACATACAATTACAACAAAATGACGACAAAATTCGACTGACTCACATTAGCAGCGGCTGCTGTAACTTGATACAGAGTTTTTTGTATTTTTTATGTTTTTTGTTTTTTTTTTGTTTTGTATTTGTATAAATTTATACACAGTTAAATGTAATTAATTAGACTTTATATTTTACCATATTTTATGTACAAATGTTAAATAGTTTTTTTTTATTTTTATTATTTATTTATATAGTTTGTAGATATTTCTTTGGATTTCTTTTTATAAATTTGTAATTTTTTAAGACTACATAAGATTTTTATTTTTTAATTTTTATGAATTTTCGACTATAATAAATTACTTGCTTACTTTTTTGCTTAATTTATTTTCTATTTAATACTCTTTTGCTGCTAGATTTCCTTTGGTTATAACTAAATTTGATACTAACAAATTTGAAAATTTTTTTTAGTATTTTTTTTTTATTTTTCACGATAAATTTGTTTGGAATTTTTTAATTTTTTTTTATGGTTCCTTAATGTTTTGTTTTTTCATTTATTTTTTTTTTTACTCATTTGTTTGGCAGTTTTCTTCCAATAGTACAAATTGTTAATTAATTAACTTTAATTAATTATTTTTGTATGTATTTGTTCGTAATTGTTTAATAGCTAATTAATTTTAAATAGTTTTATTTATTTGTTTAAAGTAAATCGTTTCCAATATACACATGACATGACAATTATCATATTTTAATTAAATATTTCTATTAAATAGTAATTATGAAATCTTCGTTTGATGATAAATACGAGTATATTTGGTTGCGTATTTGAATGAATGAAAGTGAATGTGAACTCCAAATATTTACTTTTTATTAATTTATTTGTTTGAACCTTTCCCACCATTTATTACCTCAAACTAATAATTAATATCAGTGAAGTTTTCTTATCTTAGCTAGACACTATACAAACATGTACTCACATATACATATGTAAGAGACCTCAGTTAATTATTATTTTATGATTTTTACTATTACGATCTTGTAACTAGTCACTTAACTACTTGCTTTATTCGCCTTTTATGAATTACAAATGCACACGTACACATTCAGGCGCATACATACAACTTATGTATTTTTCGCTCACAAATTTGCTTGTACTCTTTTATATACATAATTATGTATATATGCTAGTGTGTATGTTTACGTGTATTGAAGAGCAAAAATTTTGTTCCCCAAATTAGAAAAGAATCTAAGATGTTTATATATATATATATATACAGTAATTTTTGAATGATCGGCTATTATCTACAGTGATTATGAAAATTTCAAAAGTTTTTCACTTGTCGTTTAGATTAGTGTGTGTGTTGTGTATAGTATTGATATATGTATGTACATATATTTCTCAACCGCTCTTATTGATCGCTTCGATCACCAATGAGATAATTGTTTTGCATGGCAGTGTCAGATCGCATTCGGAATAGTGTACGAAAGACTTGAAAACACAGGAAAGTAAGTCAATTTTTTGAAAAAAAAAAAAAAAATCATTTCAAAATTTGATTTAAAAAATATCAAACGCAAAATTTTTTCGAAAATATAATTTCGAAAAGGCAACTTTGAAAATGCAACTTCGAAAATATAATTTCGAAAAGGCAACTTTGAAAATGCAACTTCGAAAATATAATTTCGAAAATTTGCTTTCGAAAATGCAACTTCGAAAATCTACTTTCGAAAATGCTACTTCGAAAATCTACTTTCGAAAATATATTTTCGAAAATGTAACTTCGATAATTTACTGTCGAAAATGTAACTTCGATATTTTACTGTCGAAAGTTTACTTACGAAAATGCATCTTCGAAAAAAAATTTATTTTCAGAAAGTTTTAACAACAACTCCTCTTTTAAATCACATGCTTGGTTTAACCAGTTACTCCTACTCTAGCCAACCCATTGTCTTTATGTGGAAGTTACTTAAAATCGGTTATTTACGAAAACCGTCCCCAAAGTTGTTCAATATTGTGTAAGAATATTTTCACGCAGCCCGAGTACTTCGAAAAGGATTAGTTGTCTGTGCACCAGTTTTATTTTCATTTCTACCAAATTTACGAACAGGAGCTTTTGAGCTTTTTGAACAAAGACGCTATGATTTTCTATTTTTTGAACGTTTTTAAATTTTTTGTATGAAAACTACTAAAAATCAATTAAACATGTATATTAAATCATTAATGAAAAAAAATTTAAGTTATGTTTCAAAGGCTGGGAAGTTGTAAATGCACATTGGATCAATTCATCAGTGAAAGAAGTGCTACTCGTGTAACTAGACCTTAGTTTTTAAGCTCAAATGAAGTGCAAATACGCTTCATAATTTTCGTGGAGAGTGCATAGCTCCTAATAATTAGTTCAGACTGAGGGTAACGTCCCTGGAGAGCATTATATTTGCTCAATAAATCGAGCGCATTTAGGCATACTGTGCCATTGTAATATCAAACGATGAGCTTGTGAAAATCTTTCCTTTTCTCTCTCCTTTTCCAATACTGAAACCATTTACTTTTTATTTATGAAAGTTACATGATTGTGACACTTCTAGATGCTCATTAGTTAAAGCAACAATTTTTCTGGAAGCAATGTCTAGCCGCATTTTATGCAGCTCTGATCTTTTAGCTTTGACAAAAGTCATTAGAGAAGTAGCCAATACTACTTCTGTGACTCCCTATCGGGCAATAGTAAGAAATTCTAATGGGGAACCGGTTCTATTCAATTTTTCTGTCGAAAATATATTACCGTTGAGTGCGGAATTCACTGATTTCACAGATTTGAGAAATCTGTCACAAAGGCATTGACACTCACATATATGATGAGTTACATATCGATGCTAGCACCTAACGCCGAGTTATTCAGGTATGAACTCCTTGATAGGGGAGTTTCCGTCAAAAAAGCATCTAAGTGTATACAATTTGATTCTTATTTACAAACAAATATTGCCACCAAAAATCATCCAAGTCCGATATAGATATCATACAGCTCCATACAACCGATTTGTTCAGTTATGAAAATTGTCAAATATTAATTTTCACTAGGTGAAGTACCATAAACTTGGTGTAATCATGAAGGCCTCCGCCGTGGACCGTAGACATCTCTTATTTCCTGGCAACTGCCGAAAGTTCGAGTAATCAGTGATCAACGAACGAATAGCAAAATATTGGAGTCAATCAAATATTCGATTCAAAGGAGTGTTAGGGGCTCTGGCATGTAGATAATTTTAAAATAAAAAAATTTTAAATTTTACTAATTTAAAAAAATAATAATAATTTGTTAGATATTAAACCGAAATGTTTAAATAAATTTTTGTGCGTATGTGAAAATACTGTATATGTATGAATTATGACCCTCTAAAAGCTACATAATGTTGATACATAAAAAATGCATGTGACCACTACTGCAGTTGTATGTGTATAAAACCCATAATTGGCATTTGAATGTAAGTATCTTAAAGTTTCTAATATCAAATCCCACGAATACGTACAAAGATATACATACGTACATATATATATATATATACACTAAGTATTACCTACAAAATATACCAACCTGCAAATGCCCATTTCCCAACACCTGTCACGCCTCAAAAACTTATACCAAATTTAAGCTCTAATCTGTTTTCACAAGAAATTCTCAAATCGATGAATACTTGGCTGCCCGATCAGCGTGCCGATCTCGAGCCGCTTTAGCCGCATCCGATGTCGAAGCATGTGGCCTACAACTGCCAGCGGCATCATTACCGTCACCGTCATTGGCAGCGCCAGCAACACGACGACCACCACCAACGATGTGTGTGGTGGTCTCGGCTTCTGCTTCAGAGTTAATTAAAATGTCATGCTCATGCTCATGCTCATCAAGCCTGCCAACACTGTCAAGCGCTTCTTCCTCACCATCATCATCATCATCATCATCATCATCATCGCCGTCATCATCATCATCGCCATCTTCAGCGCTATCCACTTGCATGCTGGGCCTTTGATGACGTTGTGTTGGTGGCGTTTGTGTTGCCATATTCAGATAACGGGACCATGTACTCGTATATTTTGCCGAATCCGGCTCGGTTGTTGTCAATGTTGTAGTAGGTACTTTTGTGTCAGTGCGAGTATCCATTATTGATGTTACGGTTGTTGTTATCGCTGCACCTGTTTGTTGTTGTTATTAATATAATGGGTTTAAGGGGCATTGGGGGCGATTTAAGTGTTTTTGTATTATTTAGTGAGTTTTGACATTGAAAAATAAAAACGAAAGTTTGTTTGATGACACTTTTTGTATTAAAAAAAAAGACGGTGCGTGTGAAAAGTAAACATTCAGTTAACATTGAGATAGTTTTTTAGTGAAAAAAAAATGCAATGCAGTTTCCTTAGCATTAAAAAAGTAGTTAAAGAAATTTCAAATTTTTAAGTTGGAAATAAAAATTGCTCTTTTTTTTTGCAAAATAATAATCAATGGTTCAGTACTGTTCAAGGACCTTTAACCTTATCAAACGAGTGAAAAAAGGCTGATGCTTGGATCTTACAGAAGGGAACAAATTCAAAGAGGGATATCATATGAAAATCCAAAGCTTATCATTAAATAAGATATGGTAGGCTATTACACAGGGTTGATCAAGTTAGTTGGCACATGTCATTCGGCTAGGCAGACATATGGACCTTACTGCACTTACTTACTTTCGGCGAAAAATTGCATGTCATACTGAAAAGAGTTTGTTCAATGAAACAACATTATGGAATCTACGTTCATCTATTATAATATCTATATAATTCCATGCGAAAGAGAATCTACTATTTCCTTCTTTGTTTCAATCTATTTTGGGCCCCTTTTAAATGTAATCAAAAGCGCGAAATGTAAAGATACCAATTTTTAACTAGAATACTACTAGTTTGATATTTGATAACCCATCTCATTAAACATCAGTTTCGTACTAGTTAAATACTAGTTCTTCAAAGCGTGTTGAATTCTTTTTACACAGAAAACAAATTGTCTAGAGTGGAATCATAAAGAGTAATGCTAATGAACAGCTTTGGCATCGCTTAACTAGTTATTACGGAGAGATTTGTTTGACTCAGTGGAGCGGAACCGGTGTGCAAGTTGACAGGAGACAGCAAAGACATTTAGGTGTCATTTACATTCGGGTGTCACATGAATTAACGAAAAAAAAACTTCATTGGGCAACTAACCATCCGCGAAATTCTTCTGAAACCTGACTAAATCGAAACATGTCTGCAACGAAGAACAATGAAAAAGGTTTTGTGTTTCATCAACGGACAGTACGGACAAGGTTTGATGTTCACGCAGAAATTATTAGAGCTTAACTGGGTTCCTATGATACAGTCCTGACCTTGCATTAATTTGTATTGAGTTCGGCTAAACTCATCTGGTGCTTAAAATCTGGGAGACTGAAGAGCCCTTGAAACTAATTTGGCTTAGATCTTCCCCGACAAACCACCGAAGTTCTAGATTGATTGAATTATGAAACCATACCAAAAGAGGCGAAACGAGATAAATAACAAAAGGTTAATATTTACTTAATTGAAGAAACTTTTGGATAACGTAAGAGAATGCGTAAATTAAGTCTAGTAAAAAGTAATTCATAATTTTTGCATTTTCCGGTTTATGTCAAATGTACCGTGTTTCTTGTTCGATAGCTTTGTGCCATTTAGAGGGTAATGCCATTTTTCCCCTCTCAGAGAAATTCTGGTTCCTTTTGGCGAAAACTTGGAACCATCGATTTTCATAGGCTTCTCTTGAGCTCAATTCTTCAACAGCGCAATCATTCGCCATAGACAGAAACAGATGGTAAATATTAAGGGTGAGCCATATCCCCTCCTAACTTAACTTTCGGAACTTCGGGCGAATCAATATTGATGTGTGTGAAGCCTGGTTTTGACCCCTCTTGGTCAAAGCTAAGAGCTTCTAGGCGATTGTTTCCTTTCTAAGGTCTAATTGCAGACACTACAGGCTCGAGCCAATTCTGACTAAGAGCCGGCTCACTGCACTACGACATTGAACGTTTTCGTTTGACCTTACTCTAAGGAAAGACTTTGCATCACCATTCCCCATCCGTTTCAGAAAGGGCCGATTTTGTTACAATTTGGCACAGGTTCGAAGATAGAAAATCGGTCCATGAGTGGCTTTCTTGTTAACTCTAAAATCGAGCTTCTTGCTGTATTCAACTTTTTCAGGTGGTCCGGAACTGTTTCTTGTACAATGCTTAGCCCCTGGGCAATCGATGGTCAGACTAGACGATTAAGCGACATTTGGCCTTACACATCGTGGAGCCAAATTGAAGAAACCCCTCGGCAGAGAATGTCAACCCCTTCGCGTGTATTTCTGACATGAAATAATGGCTCCTCACAAAAAACCATCAGTCGTACGGAGGCAGCTTAGTATAAACTGTAGGTCCCTCCATTTGTTGGAAAAAACATCAAGACGCAAAATCATAAAATGGAGTAGGAGATCGGCCGAAAATCGCTTAAGCAATAACAGTGGATTACTTTTTACTAGACCGATATATCTCGAGAAATTAAAATAGAAAATTCAAATTTTGATTGGTTTTCTAATAGAGAGTGAAATAAAATATTTAAAAAGAATATGATTTTTACCTAATAGTCCCTGATAATAGCAGTAGCAGCCATTGAAAAATAACATACAAGAATTAAACAAAAAGTTTGAAAACATTCATATGCATGTTTGTATGTATGTATTTCCAGATTGTTATGGTAACCATTCAAATTTGGAGCAAAATGACAGTGACGCAGATGGCAGCGATGACGTTTTTGTAAACATTTGACATTCATAGTACCGTTGACAAGGAGAATGATGATAATGTCGATGATGATGATGATGATGATGATGATGCTGATGATGATGGTGCTGACGGTTATGGTGATGACACTGCTGATGCTAATCACAATGGCGGCGGCAATGCAATCAGAAATGAAAACATTGTTGCAAGCGGAAATTGAAAATGTTTTGCCGAATGAATAGAAATTTTAGTTGTAATTTTGTACATCCACAGGGAAATAATGGAAGGAATTTTAACATTGAATTGTTGCACATACAGACAATTATGTACATATGTATGTATGTAAATGTAAAATAACCAATTTTTAAGTGAATACACTTGTACATTTAGCTTTGGACATTTAGCCAATTTTTGTAATAATTTTGATTTTATTTTAGTGTTGGACATGCATGCGTTGCATCGTCATACACACACGCATACACACACATACACATTGAGAGATAGTATAGTATGTTTATTTAAAAATTTCCAGGTTCGTATAGAAATGTTCAAATGTGCGCTGATGATTGGCTTATGCGCTGTGTTGTTGTGATTGTTGTTGCAACTGCTGCTGATAACCACCAAGAGCATGATGATGTAGCAATTGAGGTGAGAGCGTTTATTTAATTGTGTTGATATTTATATGCGTAAAGAGTATAGTGCGAATAGTAGTAGTAGTAGTAGTGGTAGTGGTAGTAGTAGTGGTAGTGATAGTTATGATGTTTCTTGTGTACAACGATAATGTCAACGACAATTTCAACATTTAACGACAACAACATCAACAACAATGCGATTCATGTAATACATGATATGTACATCATACCGATCGGCTGATGGGGCAGCTCGCTCCCGTGTTATATGATACTCTCACGATTCCGCTCCATCTCTTCGGTCTCATTCTCCGGATCCAGGCTGGATGTCGATGAGACGCCACATATTTGCATTTCAATTTCCGCCAAACGATTCTCCAAATCCCATTGTTGTTGTGATAGTTTTGTATTTAGCGCTTGATTTTCCGATTCAACTGTATGCAGGCGCTCACGTAAACGTTTGATTTCATCTTCTAAGGCTTCATGTGAACCGAGTAATGGTGTTGTGCCGCCACCACCGATGCCACCACTGGCAACGGATAGACCGCCACCGTAACATTCTAAATGCGAACTGGAATCGCAGATATGTCCTGGGTAATGCGTGAGGAGAATTTTATATTTTTTTTTTTAAAGGGGAGAAGTGAAGATAGAAAGAGAGTGTAGGTCAAGTTTAAAATAGTAATATAACTTAAAGTTGCTAGATACACATACAAACATTAGTTATAGTTAAAATCTGGCTCATCAGAAAATAAAGAAATCGTTTGAAAATAGTTTTTTCTAAAACTGAAATAATATCGGCAATCAAATTATTTCAAAATAAAAAAATCAGGATTTATTATCCTTTCTATATATGAATATTATTTCTTAAATTTACTTATATCGTTCATTATATTTTCAAATAATTTGCTCATTAACTTTAACTTAATTCGCCTTACTTCATTTTATTTAAATTAAGTTTACTTTATTCTAATTTGCTTTATATTATTATATTTATTTAATTTTAATTTATTTAATTTTATTTTATTTTATTTTATTTTATTTTGTTTCAGGATTTTTATTTTATTTTAATTTACATATTTTATTACATTTTAATTAATTTTTTTTTCATTTTATATCATTTTATTTTGTTTTATTTATTTTAATCAATTTTATTTTATTTTTCTAATTTAATTTAATTTAGTTTAATTTACTTAAGTTTTATTTTCTTTCTTTACTATATTTGATTTGATTAAATCAATTTAATCTAATTGACTTTAACATAATGAAAACATTATATTATATTATTATAATTTATTTTAATTTTACTTTTTTTTATTTTATTTTAAATTAATTTATTTTATTTTTTATCAGTTTATTTTATTTTATTTCGATTTATTTAAAATGTTTTCTTCTACTTTATTTTATTTTATTCTTTTTTCTTTCGTAAAATTTTTTTTATTTAATTTTAGTTTATTATATTTAATTTTATTTAATTTAATTTAATTTAATTTAATTTAATTTAATTTAATTTTATTTCATTTTATATCATTTTATCTCATTTTATTTTATTTTGTTTCATGTTTACTTTTTTCTTTTATATTTTTTTTTTATTTCATTTTTTTAATTTTTTTTTTTTATCTCAATTCATATTATTTTATTTTGTTTTATTTAATCTTATTTTATTTTATTTTATTTTATTTCATTTCATTTTATTTTATTTTATTTTATTTTATTTTATTTTATTTTATTTTATTTTATTTTTTTTTTTCATTTTAATTTTTTTGTTTTATATTGTTTATTTTTATTTCATTTGATATTATTTTTGTATTTGATTTTATTTTATTTAACTTAAATTTGTTTTTTTTTTCATAATATTTTTTTACTCAATTAAATTTTATTGCATATTTTTTTAAATTTATTTTATTTTGATTAATTTGCTTTCATTTTTTTTTATTTTATATTGTTTTGTTTTTAGTTATTAAATTTTTCAATATATATAATTTAATTTAATTTTGTTTTTTAATTTAATAAATTCAATTCCTACCTGTCCTGCTGGGCTGCGATTGTGGTCGGGTTGAGTGATGCGATGTCGCACGACTACGCGGCCGATCATCCGAACTATGTACACTAGGACTGACCGAACCGGGTGAGTCGGTGGCGCGTGTAATACGTTCTGTATAGGTTATGGTTGAGCGGGGACTAGGAGCGCGACTGAAGGTAGAACAAAAAATAGATAAAGTAAAATAGCAATTGAGTTAATTTTTTGAACAATATTACTTTCGAGTCTATTTTTATATATATATGGAACTACATATGTAAAAGTTGCCTATGTAAATTTGAAAAAAAAAAAATGTTCAACATTTTTCTGAGCTTTTTTTGTTGTCACAATTTATTCACCTGTAAGTTACACTTTGCGGCTGCTGTTGTTGTTGCTGCTGAAAATTCTGCTGCTGAGCAAAAGACAATGCTGCCGGTGGTGGCAGCCACATATCCTCTAACGTTGTACGACCACAACTCTCCACCAAACCGGGCGTCGATTGGCAGCGTCCCATGGCAACTACATTAAAGTATTTTACTATATTGTCAAATGCAATATGGCGGATATAATTAAAATAAAATACGAATCAATTTTGTGTTTTGGTAGTGGATAGGAAGAAAATGGTGTGTTGATAAAAATATTTGAAAAAAAAAAACGGATAAAGGACTTAATGTAAAATTAGTTGTAATTATGCAAAAGTGGTTTTAAAATACGTTTTTTTACATATAAATATAGCGCTACAAAGTATAGCAATACCATTAACTTTTCATATTTTATTACTAATTTTTAATGGGCTGCATACAAAAATATTTTTTAGGTATCTTTTTGTATTAGGGAAAGCAATTGATTTTCCCTTAATATGAGCATATTGCATAAATACTTTCTACACACCTTTTTCTAATGGAGCCTTTTTGTATTTCTCCAGACGTTTCACCGCTATCGATTCGAGTCGCACACGCGCCGCTGGATACTCCTTCAGCACGTCCCACATATCCTTTTTGCTCAATACGAAGAGATCACTATAGCCAACCGAGCGTACTGAGGCAGTGCGACGATTACCTTCATTTTTTTTTCATTTAAAAAGTGTGTTTATTTAAAATGTAAGAAAAATTCAAAAAATTATTAATTGAAAATATTTTTAAATTATTATTTGCTATCATTGTGAGCTGGTGTAACGTGCAAAAGAAAAAATAATAATACAGCAAATGGTATGATATTTGGATGCTAGCTGTGAAGGTATGCATGTAAGTGTCTGTATAAAACGTAAGTAAATTTGTTTAATTTTAAATTTCAAATTTCACCAAGATTAATTTTCAAGGGTGTGATTTTATTTTACTTTTTGTTTAATGTTTTTACGTTGTTTTTATGAAAAAAAAAAATTAGATATTTCTTAGATCAACAATATAAGGAGACTTTAACATTTTTAGAAAAACAGTGCTTAAATTTTGTTTTAATTTAAAAAAGACGTTAATGTTTTTGTTTAAGTTCTATAAATATATGCACTTTTAACAGATTTCTTTAAACTAAAAAATCCTTATCCGATATGGAAGCTGCCAGCCTCCTAAACGCCTTTGAAGCATGCCGATATCTCAAAAGCATTTTAAGCTTTAAAGTATTAAAGGAATAAATGAATGAAATTGAAAGCCAAATTTTATTAAAATGAGTATTGAAAAAATTTCAAATATTACAAAAAACACCAATTTGTTAACCATTTCTCCTTATTTGCTAGGCAGCAAAATTGCTTTCAATTAAATGCCAAAAAAAAAACTAATATTTTTTGTTCGTGCTCTGTTTAATTAGGCTAATAAAAATATTTTAATGTTAAATTAGTCTATTTTAATTTTTCTGTGTACAAGTAAGCTGTACAAAATTTAATAACGACATTATTTATTTAAGTTTTTTTTTTTGGTTATTATTATATTTTTTTTACTCTCACTTTAAAAAGTTGTGATAATAAAATATTTTTGATTTTAAAATAACTACGGAATAAAAACCGCAAATAGCAATTTATAAAATTAATATTATTTATATTTGATTCTTTTAATCCCTAAACTACGCTTGCAGACATAATGTAATGGCATTAGCTTTTTTATTTTTTTTTTTTCATTTGTGCGAGGAGAAAATTAAAATCTATTACATACTTTGGTCAATATTTTTTTGCATTCACAATTGAAAAAAAAACACTATAAGTTATGTGGCATAACGTGTTGTTAATATTGGAATGTGTATTTTGTATTTAAATTTTGAAGTAAAAAACTATGATTATGTAAATTTTGTAAGAAAAAATTTGGCCGGAGATAATATTTATGCATACACATTAAGCTATTTATAGGGGGGGAAGAAGTGCGCTAAAATGCATTAAAAACGAAGCAACAACAAAAATAAAAAAACAAACAATAATTAAAAATAAAACGATTTAATGCATGTGATTGCACCGAAAAATGTAAAAAAAAGTTATAAAATAGAGATCTATATTCTGCATATAAAAATACGTTAAAAAATTTAATGTTTTTTGATAAATTATTAACAAATGCTTACACAAAAAAGTAGTAATGGGATTAAATGCTGGAAAACAGTTCAGTTACTGCCAGGCAAAGCAATACAACGAGGAGTTTTAATGCTAATAAAATATTATGCAATACAATTGTGTAATGGGTATTAAAATATTTATATTTATTAAAGAAATTTTTCAATTGTATTTTTTTTTTTTGTAAATGTAAATTTTTTGTTTATTTTTTTTGTCTGCATGTTGTTGTAGTTCATTGAGATTTACTTGTATTACGTGGTGTTTTTAATATACCAGTTTTTACCTGTTTTGGTTATGTACTTGTAGAAGTTTATGGATATTTGTTTAACTGGGTAATTAGGTTTAAGAGAGATTAAATAATTATATTCTAATATTAAAAAAAAAATTATCTATCTAATGTCAGAAACAGATCCGCATCGTCTTATGTGCTGAGAAAAGAGAGAAACATAGATTTAGATTTCATTCTGTGTACATTCAGCATATTCTCATAGAGGAGCGGTAAGAAAAACAACAGCTCATTACGACATATAACTATATACATAGGTATATAAATAAGTGCGTAAAGAGAGAACAAAATCTTGTAAAATTATTTAATTAAAATAAAATGAATTATATTAAAATAAAAAGATGTAATATAATAAAAAATAAAATAAAATAAAATAAAATAAAATAAAATAAAATAAAATAAAATGAATTAAAAAATAAAATAAAATAAAATAAAATAAAATAAAATAAAATAAAATAAAATAAAATAAAATAAAATAAAATAAAATAAAAAAAAAAAAAATAAAATAAAACCAAAAATATTTAAATTTAGTATATTAATAAATAATCGAAAAAATAAAATGAAACAATATAATAAATTGGAAAAGGTAAAACAGATCTTCAGGAAAAGAAGCTAAACATTAGATTTTTACATATTTTCAAAATTACTTATACAAAAGAAATTTTATTATTAATTATTACGTTTTATTTCTTGTAGTTACATATAAATATACTTTAGTTTAATATAAGTAATTGTGCTTTATGTAAGCTAGTATAAAAACCATGTTGTTTTATTCGAAATTAATATGCATTTACATATATATATATTTATAATATATAATAAATAATAATATAATAAATATTAATATAACTTATTAATAAATGTTTGTATAATAGTACATAAGTGACGCTTTTGAAAAGTTAAAAGTAGTTAATTTCGTTCCGAAGGTAAAAATTTGGAATCCAATATGCTCAGGATGTCAATTTGTTTATTTGTTTTTGTGCGTAATTGCCTTACTCCGAACTAAATCTTCTCTCGACTGTCTCCTTAGTTCTTATTTTATTTCGCATGTGCAAATGGTTGAGAATAATGCGAAGTTTAACTCAAGGGTGTATAGATAGGTGTATTAAAAGAAAGCGAGAATAGTAATAATAATAAAAACGATGACAATCGAAATTGTAAAACTTCCTTCATATTTTAGAGAGCGAAGGAGTGTATGAAACTTTGAGTGATGCTACCGTTTTTATTCTTTTGAGCCATTCCAATTGCTTTTATTTTTTAATTTCTCCTTTCCCTCCAGTACATATTATTCTTACCAAAAAAAAAATAAAAAAACAATGCTCACATAATTTTTGTTATCTCGGTGATATATATGTACTATGATGGTCATATATATGCACACTAATATTTGTATGGCAATCGATTACACGTACGTAATTTGCATGAAATTAATATTCGGAAAACTCGCTTATCTACGTTCGTATACATTTGAATTGTAATTATCTCGTTCTTCAGTACACGCGAACACTCGTATTGTACTAGTTAACTTCCATAATTACACCTCGTATAGGTTAATGGTTGGCATAGGAATGCAAGCATTTGAACTGCTATCGTATGTAGTGCACTCGAATATATGAAGTTCATTGTTGTTGTTATTGTTGATATTACAATAGTTGCGAAGCTTAGACGCGGCATGCAGTTGACAGAATTAATTTCCGCTATTGCAGGTCGTTAAGCATTAGCGAATTAAATTCGGCGAGAATCGCAGAGTTGCATTGTGATGTCTAATTTAGTAATTTCAATTAAATGTACATGGCATACATCTGTTAGTTTCGCAAGTCATTGAATGAAGATAGTATTTATCAAAAGTTATATTTTAATTAATTTGTGTTTTTTTTTTGCTATTTTACCTTATTTTATTTATTTTACTTTATAATTTTATTTTTTTAATTAAATTTAGTAAAGTTTATTTTACTTTATTTTATTTCAGTTTATTTTTTTTATTATTTTGATATTTATTTTGTTTTATATAGTTTTCGGTTATTTTAATTTATGATATTTATTATAATTTACTGTATTTATTTAATTTAATTTAATTTAGTTTTAATTTTTTTAATCTTGTTTTATGTTCTTTATTACATTTAATTTTTATACTATTTTATTTAATTAAATTTCATTTTAATTTATATATTTTATATTTTTAATTTAGTTTTATATTTTTTTTTATTTTATATTTTTTTATTTTTTACTCTATTTTATTTTATTATTATACTTAATATTTTATTTTACTATAATTATTATAGTAGCCGAGTGGTTAGCATTGCGTAAGGTTAATCGGAAGGCTCGAGCTCAAATCCAAAAAGTTATAGAAAATAAATTTAAATTAAGTAAATTTTCTAATTGCAGTCGTTTCTCGGCAGGGAATTTCAACCCCTCCGTCTATATTTCTGACATGAAATAATGGCTCCTCAGAAAAAAACCATCAGCCGTTTGGAGCCTTAGTGTAAACTGTAGGCACCTCCACTTATTGGAAAGCCACCAAGATGCAAAACCACAAAATGGAAAAGGAACTCAATCGAAGAATCGCTGCAGCGGTTACAAAGCGTCAAATTATATATATAGAATTTTATTTTTATTTTTTATTCTATTTTATTTTATTAATTTGAATTTAGTTATACTTAATTTTATTTTATTAATTCTTATTTCTTTTGTTTCATTTTATTTAGTTTTGGTTTGATTTATTTTATTTTACTTAATTTTTTTCAATATTTTATTTTATTTCATTTTATTTTAAATTTTAATTTAATTTTACTTTATTTTATTTACATTATTTTATTTTTTTTTATTTAGTTCATTTTATTTTTTATCTCATTTCATTTTATTTTATTTTGTTTAGTTTTTTCTTTTTGCTCTATTTTATTTGATTTATCGTTATTGTCGTTTATTGTATTTTGTTAATTTTATTTTGTTTTATTCTTCATTCCGTGTCATTTTGTCTCTATTTATACGCTCAAGATTCCGTTTCAGTTACTCATTTACTGTTATGGTCACTCAGCTATAAATTGTCTCTTCAATATCCGAACTGAAAATTCTGAGTGAGTCGGAATATATTTAAAAGTTAAATGCTAATGGTGTGTGAATATCTTAAATCTGTTTAAACAATTTGTGCCAAACCTTAGTTTTCCATAAACTCAAATAGTTTACAAAGTACAACTTATGAAAAAAAGGTAAGCAAATCTTTTTGTTTTATTATTATTAAAAATATTA